TTTTCATCGTGAGAGCCAGATTGTCACAAAAGAGGTTATTGTTTAGACAAACGGACGCTTTATCGATTTTTAGACGTCAGATTTGTGTGATTCTGTGCTCTAAACTGCAGTACCAAGGCGTTGTTTAAACGTGCCGACCTTGTCCTGGTGTTTGCGAATGCATTATAAAAAACCGGCAAACCGATCACTGTTAAAAGGTCATTTCGAATTTCGAACACAGTAAAGGATACTTTTTCAGTGCTCTAGTTTTTGGTCATGCGTATTTATAAACGGACCACAAAACCGTTAACAGTTTGATCAGTTTATATAGCCACCCTTCTGTGCTGTAGAACGGCGTAGGTACGGCGGACGGAAAAAAAATAATCAAAATCTCTCCCCACGAAAGTGATAACCACCATTATCTCATTCGTTTCTCGCCTTAAAAAACGACTTTGGTACTGTATTCGGTAGATAAGCGCCGACATCGTTCATTATTACCAAAGTCAGCCCAGCAAAAAGATGCGATTGTCGGAACAAGCATTTTATTCATGGGCTGTCTCGACTTTTCACTTTAAATCATCCTTATAGTCATACAGCGCAATTTCACTTGTCCATAAAGACCATGTCCAACCCGTGCACCAAACAGCACGGTGGGTGCAAAGACTGTGCCTTACGCATGAACTAGTTTATAGTGACAGTGGACTTGCGCAGCATATACCCACCTGAAATTGGTGCCGAAGCAGAAATAATAATGCTTATGATATATAACGTCGCTAAGACCGACTCCCATATAATAGCGTTTCCGATTGCAATTTAGGGTAACACTTATGAGTTGGGTGTATATCTTAGAGTAGCCCTTATAACCGTTTCGGCCGTGCCCATTGTTGATCTAACCATAACTCAGTTGATCTAATTCCCAATTTGTTTAAATGGTCGATAAACGTAGAAACCACGCCTTAACCGATTCGACATCCTCCTGAAGGTATTTTGTTGGGCCCAGTTTTCCCACTCCAACAGGCGAATGCGCTAAATCAGGAGCAGGAGAATAGGACACATAGTATAACCTGCATAAGTCGACCCACAGAACCAAACTTTGGTATAAGAAAGGAATAAACCACTTGGGAGGCAGCGTCCATTTCCCAGACACCTGTCGTACGGCATGGCAGGTGTCTTTAGGAATGCGTATGGCATTGGACTAATAAGTGACGTTTGCAACGTACGAGGTACTTCCCCAACGAGTCTCTGGTTATCGATCGCCATGTTATACCCTCTGCGCCA